CACCACCGGGACCGGCGCCGGCCGCCGCACCGGGACGGGGCTCGTTGGCGGTAGCTGAGGGTCCGGGAAGCTGCTCGGGGCTCACCTCGTAGCGCCGCCCCGCCCCGCCTCCCCCCCCCCGTTGTCTTCTCGGGCCGGAGCGCGGCGGAGGAGGGAGGTTGGTGCAGCCCCGGCGGGGCCCCGGCACTTGCTGCTGCTCTCCTGAAAAAGGGGCTGCCGACGTTCCCTAGCCCCTCTCCCCTCCCTTTCCCACTGAAAACTAGCCAAAACAACTTCTTTAAAAAAAAAGTGGCCAATACTTAGAAGCGTTCAAGAGAAAATCCTTAAAGCAGTTGATTTAACGGAAGGAAGCAGAAGAATAACATTTTAATTATAATGAAGTCCAAGAGAGGAGAAGGTAAAGTCTTGCACCTGGGGAGGAATAACGCGCTGGGGTGACTCCAGCAAAGGGCAGTGGAGGTGACGGAGGGATGGGTGCCTGCAGCCCAGAGCGGGGATGACTTAGCCCGCAACAGAGAAGGCTCGGGGGGACCTTACCAACCGGGACATAAATACCCGAGGGTGTAAAAAAGACAGCAGCAGGCTCTTCTCTGTGGCATCCAGTGAAGCAACACCCGGCACTGGGCTGTGATCCAGCAGAAGGTAACAGCACTCCCAGCCCTCCAGCATTCCCGTGCTGTTTTAGCCAGTTACTCCATTGTAACCCTGCTGTTCCGAGCAAGGACAACTGCAACACCCTGCAATTTACAGCCAGGGTCTCCACCCTGCTAAATTACCCCGGACTGCAGCGGCAGCAGTTTGACAAGCTGGAAGCAAGGCGTATTTGCAATAGTTGTGGTACTTTGGAAACTACAGTATTTTCCTGAAGATCGCAAATCACCCTGTCTTCAAAGAGGTCTAAGGCCAGTACTGAATTACTCGCCTTAGTTTATGACTCTTCTTGACTGAGGCTTTTGGAAGGCAGGAGGTAGGATTGCCAATGCACATTTGGCAAGCCTCTCAGACAATTAAAAAAAAAAATCATATACGCTAGTACTGTACACATCTCTGACAAAAGGATGATGGCTGTAGATAACGGAAAAGGACACGTTCATCTCCTACTGGATACCCAGATGAAGTATCAAACCGTTTTGTCTTGTATTGAAGCCACTATAGCATTTGAACCTCCAAGGTTCAGTTCTTTATCAGATGGAACACTGCCGCTCCTCCACCCAAACCTCTTAACCCTTTTTTTTTTTCAAATTGCTGTTAAATAGCACTAGCTGTATTCATCAGCATCTATCTATGCCTCCCTACCTTAAGCATGAGTTACCTAGTCACAAAAGAATATACACCAGAGAATCTGCAAACATTAATAACTGGGTAGAAGAATCAATTTAATTTCATAATTCAGTTATATGAAACTAAAAGACTGTACAGTTTAATTAACCAGTACTTCCTGTAAAGTATCTTCTGTACTACAGCAAAATAATTGGGGGTTTCACATGCAAAGTAGCTTACAACGTAAGTTCCAATTCCTAGTAATGAGCTCCACAGTCTTTGATTTCAGTAATACTGAACTAGTAGTGCGCTGTTGAAAAAAACCAAATAATTTCTGATGCTGTGACTGTCACCAAAGCACAGCAGCCTGTATTCCAATTCACTTTAAGGTAGTATTTCAATTAAACTCTCTGGTTCACAAGTAACTTGTTCATAGATACCATTTGATAACTTTATGCATCACTGAGGTCTCTCACTGTATCTTATCCCAACCTTGCCTGTGGGACCAGAGCACCTCTATACTACAGCAATGCCCAGTACCAAGCCGATCTGGTACTGCTTACTGGAGGGTTCATCAGCTCACGCTGAGCCCAGAACTGACACAGCATCTTCCCAGCTCAGTGAGCAGCACCTCACAGCACCCTGTGCATGACAGCTTGCCCAGTCTGAATTTTTAAACACTGGAAAGATACTCTGCAGTTATTACCAGAGCAACTGAACTACCTTACTTTTAAGCAAGACAAAACTATTTACCTGTTTTACCTACAGACGGGTCATTTGCCTAATAAAATACTGACAAGGTCTTCAAGCAGTCTAGTTACTCAAACACTAGAATGCAAGTTCCTGTGAGAGCTGCTCCCAGCGTTGTTACTACCCAGGCTACACTATGGCTAAGAGCAAACCACTCCTACTTGCTATCTTTGAGATGGGGTATGGAAATCCATCTTACCTGGGATTCGGAGGATTTGTTTGCTGAAAACACTCCCACTTTAGTGGCTTGATAACAAGATGGCATATGAATAAGAGATAGTTTAGTACAAATGCACCAGCAAGTCGTTCTTAAGTACTTAATCACTACAATGATCTTTCTGCAAAGAAAAGGACATTGTTACCTAGACTTGCACTTGAATGGCTAAGAATTGTGTCTGCAAAAACACAGAAGCAGTCACAATTATATTCACATTAATCATTAACAACATAAGAAAACCCAGTGACAAGATCTTTAGGAACTCATTAACAAGGCCATAATGTACACACTTTTATTTAAACATGGCAATTTACACAATAGTTCAAAGTTTGCTTACCCCTACCCCCCCCTCGGAAAACCTGTGTACCTAGATATCAGAATTAGCACCTAGTGTTTAAAAAGAAAAGAAAGACTTTACAGTATTATTTACTGCAAGCACAGGTCAGCTCCTAAGCAACGCGGGCTCAGAGACACAGGGTTACATTAAATAATTTAATTTCTTGTGATCATCCAATTAGCTCATTGCTTCACCTCTGCAGTAGAGTTTTGGGTAACTGGTTATCTCTGAAACACTAGGAATGCATAGTTCATAAGGCTAAATGCATTTGACAAAAAGGGACAAATCACAGTTGTGGTCTGAAATTATTGCAGAGCAAATTTAAAATAGCAGTGTTTTTAAAGCAGTGGAACATAATAAAGAGGTAGGTACTTTCCTCCTTGATGGTAAGAATTTAACATTGCTTAAAAGTAGTTCAAGCTACCTAGCTTTATGTTAGATATCTCAGGTACACAAACAAGTCATGGCAGACTGGATTTACTGGAAGATATTTAAAATTATATAGAAAATGTTTCACTGGCATAAAAAAGTTATATTTTTAAGAGGTTACTTTTTGTGGAGTGTGCTATTATTCTTAACTTGAAATACACCGATCTAAACTTTTAGTGACATCAAGCCATATTTACCTTGATGTTCAGTGCTTTAGCGAGGTAAATCCCTTTGCTAAAGAGGGTCACTAAAGATCAGAAGACTGATGTTTTGTGAAAATAAAGCGCACTTTTCTGCTTGGAGCAATGGCTCATGCTTCTTCTAAAAAGCAGCCTCTAATTATATGAACTTATTTATCTACCAGGATTGTCAAAAAAGCAATCAAGACCTAGCCCACTGACGGAAATTACTAGGCAATGCCAGAAAAGAAAGCCACTTTTGGTGCAACTCTTGCACTATCTCTTCCCCTCCCCCTTTTTGTTCCACATTATGCAATTTTTAATACAAATATTGCTTCCTATTTCTGAAGCCTGGCTCCACATTCTCTTCAAAAGTAGTAATATCAGCACTTATGTGCACCACTGAAGGCTATCAGGTGTACTGACAAAGCAGAGAGAACGTTTACATGAAGAAATGTCATATTTCAAATAGCACTTTTTTTTTTTACAGAGCAAATTGAGATGAGTGTCAAGTTTTCAAATCATTACAACAATATCCTCTCTGACTGCAATTCATCAGTTATACCATCTAGCTTATTGAAACATTAACAGTGTACTTGCCTTTATACTGCAACATGATTTAACTGAAAGGTGCTAAAATGAACACTTCTATATCATTTTCACTCATACACAAGATGTCATGCACAGTTGAGACATTAGATTTTAAATCTATTTACAATTTTACATATTTTACAATATATATTTCATCTTTACAGCTACAGAATAAATTCAGACTAACATTGGTACCTTTTGAGTTTCTGCTGGGACTCGAATTCAAGTTAAACTACTTATTAAAAACAAGTAAGTGCATGCCTACAAGGAAGCTTTCAGGAAAAATGTCAATGGACTAGTGTTGCTTAAAAATTACACCGGTTTGTGTAGAAAATTTAAATTCAGTTCAAAAACCCATAAAAGCCTAATAGAAATCTACTTGACTAAAATAAATACAATTCATTACACTTAACAAAAAAATGTACCTTTAAAAATGTACTGATTTAAGCTCATCTGATTTTTAGCCTTAAATGTACTTCCCTTCCCAAGTAGCTGATAGTACTAGGTGAGAATAATGATGCTTTTCAGAGTTACTACTGATAATTATCCTGCATAAACCTGAGGCTGCAGTGGTGGGGGCAGCTTGTCATTCTCCACATTTTCAGAGTCAATAGCTGCTAAGGCTTGACTTTTTGGTTTTATTTCTAATGGATATTTCTCAACAATATCTTGGACTTCCTTTGTTATTCCATCAGTCCAATCTATCAGGTCTTTCTCAAGCTTCTTGGCTTCATTGACAATTCTTTCCTGTTTCTCATTCAACTGAGACAGGAGGTCTAAGTTTTTATACATTTGCTTAACACCCAGGCACACATCAGGTGAGAAACTGTCAGATTCTTGCTTCTTCGGGGATGTCTGACCAGTCATAAAACGATCAAAATCTTCTTGGCTTAGATTTAAAGACTGAGCATCCAGTTTTTCAATGAAGGCCACAGCACAGCACTACAAACAAAACAGAGAGTGAGTATCACTGCAAGCTACAGATTGGAATGTATGCATTCTATTTTTTATCCTGCCATTAGACCAGTAACTGATTATTTTTTATTTAATGCCTCAGATTGCTCCTAAAGATCTTTTCCAGAAGCTAACTATATCAGACAGTTCATATGCCTCTTTCCTCTCCCCAAAGTTTGAAGAAGTCAAAAACTCTGAGAACAACACAGGAAGACACCACTTCAGCAGAACAGTACCAACTCACTGGATAACATCCGTTACAAACCTCAGGGTTGCTGCATTTTGGAGGTGAGGGAACAGAAAGAACATGACAACTAGACAAGAGCACTATATTGATATTTAATAATCTGATCAGCAGAGATCTGCTATGCTGTCTATTCATTTTCTGAAGGAAGGAATGTCAAATGCCCATCTTACCTTGTGGATGCTCTCCTCCTACTGAAAGGAATTTTTAACATTCCAAGTATTTAATTCAACTACATATTTTCCCTCGAGAATTGCTTTACGATGAAATGCAGAGAAGCCAAGTTCATAATCATAATTCCTTCTAACATGAACAAGCACACCAATAAATGCCTCCTGCAGAAGCTTTAAAAAGCCTGTTTACCTCCACACATTAATGGCCTAGTTCTGCGGGCTGTTCAAGAAGAGATAAACTCTCATGGGCTTAAATAGGGAACTTTGCATCCATAACATCTGCACAGTCCAAACTCAGGCTTTTAGGAATAGAAAGTAATTAACTCCTTACAAAATAAAAATATACCCAAGTCTTAGCATCAGACCGTTCACATAAAGGGTTTAATATTATAAAGAAAGCAAAGCACTGCCTGCTTTGGAAAGCAAAGGAAGAGAGAGGAGATATAAAGCAAGAGAGCAGGCTGTACTCTAAGTAACCTCAACCACTCTCTGAAGATCAGTTTTAATTTTCCTTCTGTGTTATGCTGTGTTTGCCTTTACTGGAAACTCCTACATCCAAATAAAAGACAATCTTGTTATATAAAACGTTAATACTATTCCTACACTTACCAGATTGGTAAAGTAGTAGCCATCTTCTCCTGTCATTAACCTGCTTGGATTACAGAAGCGTGTTATATACTGGATGTTAGACTGCAGACGGGGTGGGTTTCCCTTCAAAACAATGTATATAAGTGTTGGAAGAAAGTCATCAGCAGAAGCTGGTTCGTTTTTTGTGATTTTAATAGCATTAAATATATGCTTGCTGCACTTGGTGATGCATGCTAATTTATCACGAGGGACACGCTTTGAATCCATTTCAATAATATCTGTAAGATAAAAAAGTTCTCAGATCATTAAAACCATATTAACCAGACACTTCAATGAGTAGGACACTTACTGGACAATACTAATACTGCATCATTTTTCTGTGGTGCTTGCTATTCCATAAAAGTATCTGTTTATTCAACCTTCTATTGGTTCAGCCCAAGTATTTCAAATAGATCAGGTAAGCCTAAGCACTTCTACGATAGAAAAATTGTTCCCGCTTCACAGATGATATCCTAGTCCAGTATCACAAAGACTACTGCAAATCTAAAAGCCTGGACCCCCTTCTGATGATAGCAGAAAATAATCTCTATGAGCAAGAGATATAAAATTTAATGCTGTAAGTAAGTATACACTTCATCATTCACAAACCTGTAATTGCTTTTACAACCATATCGGAGACTTCTGGAATTTCTTCATTGACAGGAACACACAGCATTTGTGGAGTTACCCAGTGCAAAGCCCTATGACAAGAAAAAAAAATGTTAAACTGTTCTGTGCCTGTAACATTCAGGTGTTTGAAACAAGCTGCTTCTTGAATTCAAGGCACAAGGAGTGCTTTGTGTAAATGAGACACTAGTCCAGTCATAAGCTAGTTTATTCCACTGAAGTAATTTATTTCCATAAAAATACTTTCTTTTTTTGCTATAATTTAACAAAACCAAACCAATTAGTCCTCCTAGTGTAGTAGCTTTCATTAGTCATTCTATTCATTCCTTCTGTTTCTTAAATAAAGTGCTTTTAACCCTTTCTGGTTAAAAAGCTTGCCATTTTTGTGTGCACAGCAGAAGATTTTTAACATGCTTGATTAAGAGCTCATTTACAGGACTGTGGATTACTCAACCATTTTTCTTTTAAAGACTTACCTGATTCTCTTTTGGACAGCAAGATCTTTCTTCTCATCATCAGTTGTTTCAGGGCAAAAGACATATTTATACTGTCGAGTCATAATATATTTTTCAATCTGATCCATTGCTTTCTCTACTTTTTCAGGGGGCACTGAAAGGTAAAAATCCCACGCCCAATACAGTAAATAAAGTATTCTGTGGCTCCTTTGAAGATTTAATACAGTTTCGTCCTAATATCGCCAAATCAGTACTACTGACTTGATCCAACCTGAGTTAATAAACAATGGATATACTTGGAGTACTTTCACTCTCTACAGCAGAATTAAAAATATAATGGTGACAACACCATAGTGACATGCCAAAGTAAGTACACATAGGTTCACAATGAAGCATGTTCATTTAGCACATTCAACACACAAATTAGGTTCAGCTGCTTGCAGCTTACAAGAATATTTCTCAAAAATACAGTCTTTGAGAATAAGTCCAGTGAGGTCTTCCAAGTCGTCTGTTTCTGTTTATGTCTAAAAAAATCCCTGGGTATGTTTAAACTGTGCCACTTGCATACCAGGCACATAAAAGCAGTCCACAACAGAAATACTCCCTCTCACTGGCTTCTTGTGCATTACAGTGTAACGTAAGGCTCGCAGCCGGTTAATTGGGTTGAGACTACCTATTCAACTTCAGTTTTAAACAAATAGTATTGAATTTAAAACAAGAAATTAAACCAACTGAACCATATTTAATTGAAAGTTTAAGAAAAACCTGTAAAAACAAATAATTTACACGGCAAAGCTTTATAGAACTGGTGCTGCTGGGAATAGCTCTAACTAAGGTACTGGAATTTGTTAACAAAATTTCTGAAAGCTGGTTAGGAATGTTTCGTTTTTACTTGAAAATGCAAGAGGCTTTATCCTCAAAATCATTACTTTTTCAGCAGTAAGATACGAGGAAGAGGAACATGATACCTTTCCAACGTGTCTGTAATTTCTCTGCTACATTTTGATAGAAGTCCTGGGCACATTCAGATTGCTCCTCAATGCTTAAGTCCTATAACAGAAAACTGTTTTAAGTGTGCATGTGTGGAAGAAACGGCAGCAATGCCTCTCATGTTTTGTTTTTGTTTAAGGAAAGTGTCCAGATGTAGTAACAGTCTGAGAATGCAAATATATCAGAGATGTTTATGTTGGCTAAATTATATTTAAAAATATGAGAAACCAAGACATACTGGCTCTTTAACATGTGAAAGACGTTTATTTGCTGAACAGATGTATATTAGCAATGGAACTGGACAGGTGCAATGCCGTTTTCCCTAGACACATCCCTGAGCAACGGTTGACAAAATACTGTAGACTATTAAGCAGAATGCTTGCTCCCAATTTTGTCTCTTAACTTTTTAAGAAAGGATATACAGTATACCAAAAACCAAGAATATAAATCATAATTTGAAAGAATATACAGTAAACATTTCTAATGATAAAGTTACTATGAAATATATTCACAATGTTATTTGTTAAACAACATTGTCTTTTGGGCATTAACTAACTGAGCTACTGAAGAATGTAACAGAGGTTTGCAGTTAAAATTAACTTTACCTATCAAGCCACTTTTCACCATTAAATGGCAGCATAAAACCATACATTAAAAAGAAAAAAAAAAAAAGGAGAGAGAACTTAGTTTCTGAATTCTCTAAGGCCAAAAACTAGACAGTTACCCTTGAACACAAAGTCTCAGCTCTAATGGCAGTGCTGCATTTTAGGCCTGGTTTACATGTAGCAGCAAATTGTATGTTTTGAGAAAGACTTCTTTTTGACTAGCACAAACTATCAAGGAACTAGGAAATGAGAGTACCTTCAGTGTTTATAACCAGTAATAACAACACACTATTTTCATGAACTCTATGCTCAGAATGAATCAGTTCTAAAAGAGAAAAAAAACCAAAACAAAAACCAAACCAAACTTCAAGATGTTTTCAAAGTGGAGGGCATGTAAGATTCCATCAGAACTTTCTTTAACTTCCAGTCCAATGTGAAGATATAATTTGAGTAACTACATACTAAATAGGGAAGGGAAGGAAAAAAAAAAAGTAGTGTGCTAAATACTGACTCATTTCAACCATAGGTGGCACTAGAGATACATTAATATTTCAAGAACTTTTTTTTTTTAATGGAGAATGAAGATGTAACCCTTATTCCACATTAAAAAAAAAAAAAAAAAGAAAAAAAGCATAGTCAAGTTTCCCTTCCCCAAAGAAAAGGAGACATGTTGGTTGATACTGTATTATCTTTCTAACTTTTTAGACTTCAGAGATCTAAAAACTCATTATGTAATATATTTTAATTTCCACAAGTCATATTTATCTAGAAAATTGTTCAACAGACTAATTTATGTGGCATTTATTCAGAACTCATTTATTTGGGTTGCAAAGGAAAGTTCTCTCAAGATACCGGGGTTGGAGGGTTTCTTTGGTCACATACCATATCAAAAAGCAAGGCATTGACAATTTAAGACTGCCACTAGATCTTCATTCAACTAAGCATATCAGCTAAAGACTCCTGTATACAATATACAAAAAACAAACTGCTGGAAGAAGTGCAGCATTTTCTCCATCTCTCCCCAGTTTCCCCATTTTATTTATGTAAAAGGCATGCAAAACTTACCCTTTTATGATTCATTGTGTCCAAAAATAGTTTACATTGCTTATAGATATCTTGTCCAGGCTTTTGATACGTCTTGAGAAATTCTATGAATTCCTTGGATACTCGATCTGTCTCGATGCTAGCCTGCCTGTTTATAGAAGGGCTGGGAGCCTTGGCTTCTTGGATCTCTGCCGGGAAAATTTAGGCACATCAGATTACCTTTTTTACACTGATGGATGACTGCAGGAAGCGTTTAATGTGTCTTAAAATTGCAGGTTGGTTTTTTCAACTGTGCAGATGAATGAGCATTTCTTTCTCAAGCTTTACCAGTGAAATGCTGGATATTACTAAACAGAACTCTAAGAAACTGAGTATTCCACTGAAGTGAAACATTTATAGCCACATACCCATTTACACTAATGGCCTTTTTATATTAGCAAATTACTGTAACATGGGTTTGCTTTCGGGTTTCTTACATTTTCATTCCCAGGTAAGATATCTCCATATAAGATCAAGGCTTCCAGATGGGATTCTGCAGCAGTTTAAGATAATGGAGTGCTCCCTTTTCCGTTCTCCCTCACCTTTACATTCCTGCTCCTTTGCTTTCAACTGGCTCATGAACTAGCTCAGGGAGTAGTAGTTTGGGGCAGCCCTAGTCAGAAATCAGTGTTTCTTTGGGGTTATTTTTCAGCTTGATCAGCTCCCCAAGCTGGCTTCCCACCAGGTCATAGGAGCAGCAGCAGCAGCACAAGACGAGGAATGGGAGCATGAGGTTGGTGAAAATGCAGCAGCCCTTCTTTGGCTAGGCAGCAGATGCCACAGAATCACACCTGCAGTGTAAATGAGAACTTGGCCATTTGTGTTTCGGCAAGAACAGAAGCACCGCGCCTGTTCAAGAAAGAATTTGCTTGGCACTCAAGAAGGAGGTAGGAACACAGACTGCACACAGCACTGGATGCAAGTTTATATAGCTGCAACCACAGGATTTTTCCACACAAACACATCTGATTTTCCAGGGTGTACGTTGCAAGTTAATTGTACTGATCCAATACCTTCACTACCCAAGTTTAGTTCACCCACCTTTCAACTTGCCAGCCAACACTGTTCAGAATGAAGGATTGAATAGAGATGATGTAAATGAACATGATGAAAAGCAAGCAGCAAAGAGACAGAAAACATGAAAATATTCATGGTCAACATGATACAAACACATCTTTCAACCTCAAAATACTAACATGCACAACAAAAAAATCCTTGTTTCAATAAGCATACATGCAGAACTCCAAAATATAAGGAAATAAATGGGATTAGTATATTTAAATTGGTATGTTTTATATTGGAAGTAGCTTATTGTTGGGTTTTTTTGTTTGCTGTTACTTGTTTTTAAAGAGATACAGCACTATAGTAAATTCAAAGCTGTAGGATCCAGTGACTAACAACAGTGATCACTTGACCAAAGCACAAGACTCTACACTTCAGCATAACCTTCTCTGGGTAATAATTTGGTCAGATACCATTAAAACATTTATTGTATTTAAGTGATAAGAATGGAAAAGGTTTTGCAAATATTTAAATTGCAGCTGCAGCAATCAAGATACGGAGTGCAAATCAATCTCCTTTCTAGTTACACAAGAACACTTTTTTCCAGAGGGCATTTCCTCCAATCTTCTTTATACCTAAGATTCAAAGTAGAATGCCTGCACAGTACTCAAGCTGAACAGCAACCACTACTATATGTTGATCCAAATTTGTCATATTTAATATTACATAACCAGTAAGTACAGAGCATAGCTTTGCAATAATAAACAAAGCAAGCAGGTCCACTTTTGAAAGGGTAGAATTATAGGGTATTTTTTCCACAATTAATTACTGACTTCATTTCAAAGAACAGCCAAAGATTTATTTACTTATTTCAACACCGAGTTCACTGTATCAGAAAAATCATGAACTTTATTCCACTATTTGACCTTAAGGAATATGAATATGATTTTTTTAGTCATGGATCTAGAATAGATTTTTTTTTTTTTTTTTTTTTTTTAGTTACTAGAGAGATGTAGACAATTGAGGCACATTACTGTTAATGTAGGCATTAAAAAAATTTGAATGTTAGAATGAACTGTCTTTTTAATGAGTCACACCAAGAACTACATGTAGTCACTCAGAAATGTTGCACCTTCATTAATCTCCGTGTTGAAATCCTGATTTCAGGAAAATGAACCTGTACAACACACACTGATTACTTAGGACTGCAGGAACAAACATACTTTCAGCAATAAAGTATTTTCAGCTTTGTCATGTACTTTAAAAGAGTTAAGTCTAACTAAAAAGAAGCTGATTGCCGAAAAGAAATTCCATTTGAACAAGCTGAAGAGAACCTAGTAGAGGAGATATGCCAAAATGAAAAGAAAGAGTATGGGAAGAGTTAAGAAAGGATCACCTTTACAAAGAACAAACACTATTAATATTAAAATCTTTCTCAAGGCATTCTACAAAAATGCTAGTTGTTACAGCAGAACATTAGCACTCCAGTGATTCACTATGGTTGTGCCATGGTCATGGATCTGAGTCCAAGAATATAAAAATAGTGTTGTCATTAGCTCTACTACACACACCCATTCATCATCTTCATATAATTTGCAAAATAAAGAATGGTACATCTTCAAATTTCTTTATTCAGCAGAACACGTCAGAATTGCAAACAAATAGCATAGGACAAGATCCTAAAGGTGTTTGCTTCAAGGGTTCTGGAGTCCTTTTGGTTTAAATGAAACCAGTATGTCTTCTCTTGATATGAAATTGTCGTCTTGATAATTGTAACAAACATTTGGAGATGTTTTGAGAATGCAGAAGTTCTTGGAGTGCAAGCTATTAAACTGAAATAGTTTCAACTTACAATCAGATTTATAATGGCAACCCAGAATTATTTTTTGATAAAAATATGAAGCAGCACAAGATCTAGCTACTTCTTAACAAAATTCTTATTTTTTTGAAACTGCGTAATCCTTCAGTTGTCACACTAAGGTAAGCTGAAGCTTCTTTGAGCTCTTATTCCTATAGTCTTCTTACCAAAAAGCAAAGAATTGATTTAAAGATTCAAGTTCACGTCAAGATGCTAGACTTGCTTTTTTTTGTCATCTTCGTATTCAACAGCACAAGTTATAACTGGCACAACCCTAGTTTGTATTTTGCCAAGCCCAGCTAAGAAATAAGCTTACTAAAATCAAGCAGACAGCTTGCTCAAGCTGTACTGCATTACCTTCAGTAGGGGAAGCCAGTTCCCAGGAGGGAGTAAAAATCTCCTTCAAATCCCTGAGAATGTTATCAGCATTTCGCTCCCTCCCAAGCTGTCCTGGCTTAACGATTTTCTCTTGAGCCACTGAAATAAATGCAAAAGCAAGCAAGACACCAAGAACGGGAGCATGTCAGGAGAGACGGTGCACGGGATAAAAAAAAGAAAATATGGAAAGTGAGAAGAAGGAACATAAAAAAAGTTCTTAATACATAGCTGAATGCCTCATTTAGCCAGCTGCTGCCCATGGACCAAAACAAATTCTAAGGCGAAATCCAGACATATTTAGAACTTCTTATTACGGAAATGCATTGTCAATAAGGCTAAGATATATTAATGTTGCTTTTTCTTCTGGAATGCCTCCTCCACAGTCTAGCATTTTCCAGGTTTTGCCCATGTAAGATATTGCTATGCAAAGACATCAGTGCCATTAATCATTCTTACTTGTAACACATGCTGTAGAATAAACATTCAGCCAACCACAAACTTGATATTCACAACCCCCACACACATAAACACTACAAGTTTCCTTTCACATTTATTTTCATTTAAAGGCACCCTGCTTACACATTCCATTTTTTCTGTTAAAGCTGCTGAAGTGATCCATTATGACAGCATCATCTGATATTTTGATATCAGCATTTCTATCACACTTAGACATATCAGTTTGAGGTGACTCACAGCCAGTACCTTTTCTCCTGCTTTCTTCAGGAAGAGTTCCCTTTCAAGTCCTAAACTACAGAATCACACTATGGTTGACTCATGAATCTAGCAAGAATGTGCATCATATGAACAAGATACTTCCACTCAGCAGTGCAGTGGTAGACCACCACCAGGAATACATTTATACTACACTTTAGTGGAAGAATTCCTGTATAGCTAACACAAACACGGCACTGTTCTATTTAAAAGATTGTTCGGCATCACCCAAAAGCTCATGTTTTTCTGTTTTTTCAGTAAGACTTCACATATAGCAATCACTCTCCAGGAGCATCATTATTCCAACTTTTTAAGGTCAAGGCACAGAGTACTACTCTGCCTTTTAGTACAATACAAATATCAAAAATACTTTTTAACTTAACATGTTGTATAGAACCATTAAAAGCAAAGGAGAAAGTTACCCTTCTTAGCTCCTGTTCTGGAAGAAGCAGTGAAGAACTTCTTCACGGTAGTGACCTTTCGCGTTTTCTCATTGGTTTTCTTTTCTTCAAATTTTGAAAAGGTCAGTGACTGTGCCCCTTGGGTACTCTGACTACTGGCATATGCTTCTTCTTCCTCACGCTGAAGCCTGGAATTAGAAAAATGTATGTCTAATTTAAGTGCTTAAAACTAGCAAAAATAAGCTAATTTCCTGTGCAATAAATTACTCATTTGACATGATGCTAATTCTCCTCTATGCTCATCTTCCTTTCTTACTTCCTACCACATCTCCCTTCATTCCATTACATCCACTCTTTCCATGTTGCAATGGTGAATGGAAGCGAGGGAAAGCTTAAGATGGCAAGGGAGGATTAAATAGTAAGGTCAAAAGAGAGGAGACTGAAATACAATCACAGTCACTTTCCCCTCATGTCACAGCCCTGAATTCTACAAAGGTAGAGGTGAGGGAAAAGACTGTAGGAGGACTTCCAATAATTGATTCAGTTGCCTTCCTCGCTGCATCGTGTTCCGAATTTCACAGCCTATTACCACAGGCAATCCTTTACCATGTTACTAAAGATAAAAACTATGGCTCACAGCTGAGCAAGTGAAATACCCTGTCATAATCTCAAAAATACTCTGGGAAATAGATCATTGTTGTCATAATTTCTTTTCTAAGTCTTGGTAACACTTATGCTTACTTGAAGGAATGAGGCAAACCACTTCACTGCAAACACTGATGGGTGCTTTGCAAAGACCAAGCCCATCTTTCAATCTACATGTACAAAGTAGGGGAGGGCAAACATGCTAATCCTTCAACGGCTACTTTTCTTCCTATGCAGGAAAATTAAAATAGGTTAAATTATATTGCCCTTCAAGATGCTAAAAGGTTGAGCAATTTTCTTTAAACATCCATCCAGCTCAGGATGGACCATAAATAGTCTTGCACTTGTAATCTCTTGAGGCAAGAATTGTGTTTTATCTGTGCTGACAAGCCTGTCTGTTCGCTACAGCAAACAATCACAGCTTATCTGTTCCTTTAGCATCTCCCTACTGAACAGTTACTTATTAAAGAATTCCTTAAATGCCCCACTTTATTGTACATAGATGTTATAAGACTGACAGCATAACTATCTGCTCTAATAATACTTAAGCTTTTATTAACTGTTTAAGCCAAATTTATGGCAGAGTTAAAAAATGACACGTCCTCTGTACTGTACCCAACAGCTTACCTGGCACCTTCTGATTAGGCTAGAAAAAGTTTCAAGCACTTCTTAACTTGCAGTTAATCTGTTCCAGTGCCAGACAGTAAAGAGAACATTATAAACAAACAAACAAACAACTTCAAAGTCTAAGATAAAGAGTGTCTAGGGTAGTCAGATACCAGAAAACTTAGGGCTTCCAAACTATAACCATCAGTTTGGACCCAACTCAAGTTCAGAGAGCTTCCACAGATGTCACCTTCTTCAGGCAGGCTGATGTAAACAGTGCACTTAATGACTTTTCTTCCCCATTCCACCCGCCTGTGACCTTGGTTAACATATCACTAGGTAACTCAAGTTCACTGAAGGGTTCCAAACTCGAGTGCAGACATGTATCTCAGGCATTTGCACTTTCTCCTAGAGTTCGGGCATATTCCACTAATACATTAAGGTAAGCATATGTAGAGAATCAGTGTCAATATGAACAAACATCTTGGCCAGCTCAAGGCAACTGCCAATCAACTCTTAATACACAGCTAGATGCTCCTCCATCTTAAGAATTCACATAACCCTGAAACAGTTAATTCTGAGTGGATGTCGTGTAACTCATACCTGGAAGTACTACAGCTGTCCTTTGTTCACAAAAGACGATGCTTTGCAGTTTCTCAGGCAGCAGATAATGCTTTTGCTTTCTACCCAAATCCAACAAAAAGCAGTTGAAGCTACTCTTATTTTCTCACTCAAGCATAGATTTCCTCCAAGACCCATTTTCAGGGTCAAGCATTTATCACACTAGGAAAGCTAGACTGTTTTGCAGAAAGTACGTGCTTAGAAAAATTACCTACATTGTTAAAGCTAAAGCTTTGATGGTTTTGGGCTCAATCCTGCAGTTTAAAAGAATGACCACAGACAAGACTAAACCCAATTTTTTAATCAGTAGCTGAAATGTAAAGCCGTTGTGCTGGCTATATTCAAGACAATAACTGTGGTCTCCAGAGGCAGAGGTATTTTAATCAAAATTGTCACTTTCACCCTTCCAACTGCTAGTTAGAATTACAGATTTCAGTATGCAAATTAGGTCAAAGTATTTGTTGAGAGGTTGGGGGGATGTTTACATTTATTACTTCACAGACTTTCTTTTGAAACCTCTTAAATTAGAATGTCATAAATATTCATCTTTGCATCAAAAGGAAGATTTTCCTTCCCTTTCTTGCTGGAAAGGTCAAATTTGAGAACTTATGATGAAACTGAGCCTGAGCAAATAGGACTAGAAAATAGGAGGCAGGAATAGTATTTAGTGAAGTCACCCTACTATAAAAGAGGAAGGAATAAAGAGGGCTCTTTACCGCTCTGCCAGCTCCCAATCCTCTTGAATCTGTTTCTGTCTGGCCTTATGGTATTCCTCTCTCCAGCACTTGGAGCAAAATCCCTGCCAAGCAGGATTGCCATAGTAACCACATCCCTTCTTGCACAGTAGCTCTGACTGATCGACGTGAATTCCTCTGCGTTCAGATTTCAGGTTCATTTTCTTCCTGTTTAAAGAGAAAAGGGTTAAAGACAGAAATATGGTAACAGCCTGCTAGAAATAATTTCTTTTGAAGGCTTGCCTTTTAGAAAGAAGTCACCTGTTTTAATTACTTAATAGTTTCATAGCAACAAAATAAAGGCCACAGGAGGAAGGGCACAGTTACATAACCATACAGCCCCAAAAGCCAACTGCAACATCAGCATATGTTTGCATAGCTTTGACCTGCAAACAGTACCAGACAGCTGGCCTGGAAAGCAAGCCAGCAGTACCAGTCAAACAGCTACATACGCATGTGGAAAAAGGCACAAGTCTCTGACCTCACCAGCACATTGTTCTAACAGTTGCAGAGGCACAAAGCAACAGAGGAAAAAAGAAATATGGAAAGTTACAATCACCACGAAGGAAGCAAACTGAGTAAGAGACGAAATGTAAATAGGTTTGTATTCAGGCTAAGACTGTCTCTGCAAAGAATCACACTGGTGAGACTTTAGCTAACGTATCTTTGGCCTCAAAGAATATGTCTTCATGGCACAGTCAAGTATCACAGCTAACCCAGCAGGGTACATTAACACGGATGAGGTGCATCTCCATTTCCTTCAGTACTCGGGTTACTTCGGAGTTAAGTTGGGCTTCTGCATACAGCACAGCTCTATAGAATTTATATAAAGTGACTACAACAAAAAGATTTATTCTCATGCCTACACCACCACTGTGCAGAGCCTGCCTTCCAGTGATCCAGCCCTCCCCTTTTCTTGCTTGACAGAAACCATCCCACATGCCAGCTTGCTCCCAAGGGCATTTCAACTACTTTGTTCTAATTCTAAATGCTGGATTCATTTTAGGAGAAAAGGAGCACAGGAACCCCTGTATTAGCAAGTTTAAGGTCTGCATATTAAAACACAGACATTTGGATTGCAATATTGACATACAGAGACACTAGGAATACCACAGCAAGGCACTGGAAAGCAGGTCTTGGTCACCAAATCCAGCCCCTTTTTCTTCCTGTGATCCTCAGCAGACAGTGCTCTGTGTAAGCTGAGCAAGCACCTCAGCAATTCAGTTTCTTGCTCTCACATTCGTAACCAAAGGTGCCCCTACGACTTCCTTCCTCTAACAGGAAAACCAGAAGATTTTTAAACCAACGCTGCCCTGCAGTCTGAAGACCCTGCCCTGCCCTCCCTTCGAGCTCATTACTTAAGATCACACAAGGAAAACAGAACACACATTGAGATGCAATGTATGGAAAGCAAGATGAAAAGAGATTTTCTTAAACTGAAGAATGTCAGTAACTGTCAGAGTAAATCTCGTTTTAACCCGAGATTCATGACGACCCCTAAGTTCATGTGTTTGAAGAATCTGGATCTCTGGTTTTTCACGTTTCTGCCCAGCAAAGGTTACTTACCCCTGGCAGGTCTTGCCCTCAACAGTCTCAGAAAACTTTTCTCTGGGTCATCCAGCAAACCAGATGTGATACGCACAACTGTCATTACCAAAGATAGTTTTCTACTATAGGAAGTAACAGCTAATTTGTTCCAAGCTGAATTACATAAGATCAGCCATTTTAAAAGACTGATAATGTTTAACATTTCCCATTAATCTAAAGTTATTTTAAGTAAAGTAACAGGAAACACTTATGATTTTCTCTGAGGGGGGGAACAAATTAAATATTCCATCTTACCTATGTAAGTATTATGGCTCCTTCCACTAACTTCTTTTCTATCTTTGAAAGTAGTAATGAGCTCCTAAAAATAATCTAAAAATAGTTTCATTGTAGAGACCTGTATATTAAGGGAATCAGTTTCTTAATGGCATAATTTATAAAGACACATTTCCTCATTTATATAGATAGACAGCAGCTGAATACTCTCTTTTCTTTCCCGCAGAATGTCTGACAGTTAAAAAGACATTAATATGCTTCTGCAAAGCAAAATGAAAAAAACCAATGAGATTTTAAATATTTGAGAGCGCTTCATTCCTATATGGACAAATTAACAGAGCAAAATAATTGCCTTCATAAAAATCTTTTGGTTTCTGTACTATCTTCATTTTCTGATTCCTCAAGTAAGGGCTTCGTGATGACTGTAATGGTACACAGATCTGCTGACTAACAATCTATCTAGCAGACCAGAAATTAAACATCAAATGTTTGTCAACTGCACAGCCTGGGACGGAAATTGCATGTTGGCAGTATTTGGAAACACAGCCCATTCTCAGAGCATCACACATGCCCTTTATGACCAATTCTGAAAAGAATGGGGAAGCAAAAGCTTGAAACTCTTCAGTTGCTCCTGATCCAGTTTAAAGACCGCTTCCTAAAAAGAGAAGCTGCAGCAGGATTTTGACTAGAGACTCTATTGCAGGTGCCTGTACTAGAAAAGACCACCATGCATAAAATTTTCAATATTGCCATTAATTGTAAAGCTGATCAGTCTGAATGTTTTTTATTGTAAACTACAGGGAGCTATAAGACACAACAGATAAAAACATTTTCATAACACAAACTTCAGAGAAATTTTACACTGATCTCCATCACCCAAGGATCATTCCTGATCCTATCGCCCACTACAATGGAATAAGTTACAACAGTTTTGCAATTGCAGTCTGTAGGCCAATTTCATTAATTCAGGTGTCTGTTGTTCTTATTCAAAAGCACCATGCTTCAGACACTCGTATTTTTTGGAAACTAAAGGAGTAGAATGAAATACATGACCTTGCTTCTATTCCACATCAACATCTTGCTTTCTGAAAGCTAACAGTATACTCGGTTTCTATGCCAGTTATGCACTTTCACTATCTCTATACAGACACACAAAACTTAGCTTTCTGTATTCACAGAGCTTTAACTAGCGCCACAATTACCTTTGGCATCCTGCTAGCTCTTTGTGTACATTAGAACTAAAAATAAAGTTCTGTTTAGTGTCAAAGTTCAGCAGCTTCCCTTGGAGTAAGCAAAACAGGTCTCTTTGTAGGAAGCTTTTTTTTTTGTTTTGCATTCTTTCGGGAGAGATTTGTAAACAGCTGCAAAGCCAAGCCACTGGGAAACAAGTTGTTCTGCTTTCTCTCCTTCCAAGTATTTTCAATTGCAGTTACATCAGTTTCAGATCCAGGGACAAAAGAGGTCACCTTGAATCAATATGAAGAAATCACATGCTGCACTTCAAGCAGAGGCTTTCTGCTCCCTTTAAACACATACAGCCATTACAAAAAGAGTTTCACAGCCAATTTCTGCAGGTCTGCATTTACATTTTAATGAACAGAACAACTCAAGTTTTAATACACTGAATATGAAAAATCCATCTCAAGTCCACTTTCAGCAACTAAATCGCTGTGTATTTTATGATCTTCCATTCCTAAAAATGTTTTGTTGGAACTTTTGAGTATCCAAAATGCTTTTTTTTCTTTCTCTATTCCCTTGTCTCCCTCCCACTCCAGCTAAAGGTGCATCATTCTTTATTCAATGATAAAGTCAGCGCATTTGCACAGTCACACCACTTATTTTGCATGGTCAGACCTCTTATTTTTATTCATGCCCTGAACGCATGACCTGTTCAAAGCTTACTTCTGAGTAACATAATCCAAAAGAAAGAACAAATTTGCTGTTTTCCTGGAGCTGGACAGGTAGGCAACTCTGAAGAGCTTTCATACTGCCTGACCACTGAGAAGTCAGGAAAACAATAGTAAGGAAGGTAACATATGTTCACATTTAAAAAAAAAAAAATCTAATCAAGAAGGACAATAAAGTACCAGAAGATCATAAACAAAATTAACTAGTACAATTTGGAGAGCTGCACTGCACCAAACATCCTTTTTACATCTCCTGTATCCCAATTAAAACACTTCAACAACTTCAAAAAGCACCACGTCTCCCTCCCAGGAGCAAACACCTGTAATTTAAAGTATATTCATACATTGCTTTCTTCAATAAGTACTTCAAATAGTTCTGATGTAAATATTGTCAGGGAAAGCAGAAATGACACTTCCTTACACATTTCCTCACAAACACCATGATACAGAATCTTCTTTTAAGCATTTCTGTACCAGTACTAGACCTCATCAAAGGTTAATATCTATGTTAATTAGCAGCACCCCTTTGAAAAGTTTAGAAAAAGAACAGGCTCTTGGACTTAGTTATTAATTTATAAAATCCCTTTCCCTTTGTTACATTTACAAGTAAAAGCTTCTTCCCTCCCATTTTTCTCTGAAATGGAAAAACGGAAACCACCCAACCCCTTTCTATGATCATGATCTTTAAACTCCACCTAACACAGCGTGTGTGTGGTTCCTCAGACGATCACTGCTAACATGTCCTGTTACACCATGGCTGCAAAAGTGGATTTATTCTGGACAATTACAACATGGAAACCTGTCCCATTGCTGGCAATCAGCGTATTTGTACCACAGCTAACACAGGACTAGACTGTATGGACACCAAAGAGCTCCTTGTCTTACTGCCACATGCATTCCCAGGCCGGTACCCACCCAGCGTGACAGCATACTAACTCCAAGCTACAGCATCAGCTGCCCGTGGCTACATGTTTCCATGCTGTTCTAGATGTCAAGCTTTATTTTTCTAAGCTGTAGTGACATCAAGAGCAGATGAATACTTGTGTACTGTTGGTAGATGAGGCATACAATACATATTATGTTAGATATATTTAAAAGATTGTGCTTCAAAAGTCTCTAATGACAGATCAGATCTCCCTCTGTAGCTTTTTCATAAACATCTTCGAATATTTAGTTTTGTTATGATGCCTAGCATGTGAAAAAAAACCCCAACCTCTGTGGCTTAATTCAAAATTAGCTTTTTACTTGCTTTAGTGCAATTCATTCTGAAGCTCTCCAATACATCTTCCTATCAACACATTTTTCCTGTTGTACCTAAACTTATCTAAAATTTTTCTTTTTATTCACTAGTATTTTGAGCACCCATTTACTTAGAGCAAATACTTTTTAAAAAGTGCAATACCAACTCATAGGTTTCTCGTCCCTTCCTCACACCCCTAGATTTTT